CCCCCGGCCCTCTGCATAGGGGACTTGTAGGGAGGAGGCAAAGCTCCAGCCCCCCATGCCTGGCCAGGCAAAACTTCCTTGCAACAGGCAGCGGGGTCCCCTCCGGCTGCCGCACGCCCTTCCCGCAGCAGCATTTATCACCTCTGCTGAGACCCAAATCTCCCGAAGGCATCGAGCCCTGACCTCCCTCCCTGTCGCAGGCAGCCCCACATCCCCTTGGGGGGGACCCTCAACACCAGAGGAGCACGGGAGGCACAGACCAGGGCAGAGCTGGGCCTCCACGTGCTGCCCTGGGCCCATCTCCCCCAGCCTCCTGCAGAGGTACCAGCCCTCGCTGCCATGGGAGGATGCTCAGGCTTCAGCCAAGCTTTGCCCGGCTCTCCACCGACCGTGGGAAGAGGGAGCAGCTCCTCTCGCACCAGTTCCTGCCTGGCCTGGCCCCCTCCTGCAAGCCCAGCCAGAGCATGCCCAGCCGACGGCACCCAGCACGTTACAGCCCTTCCCTTTGCCCCTCTTGGGCCCAGGAAGGGGTGAACAAAAATGCAAGATCCCATGAGGAGAGAGGAGCCAGGAGCCCATGGCCCATGGCTGCCCCGAGCCCCCTGCCCAGTGATGTGCTCCACGGGTACCTCTGGGACTTGAGCCTCTTCTTCAAGCCCCTTCAATCCCTCCAGACATGGCAACGGCCATGCAAGCAGCGATGTCCCTTTGTCCCCCAGCTCTGGCCAGGAGCTGAGGTCGGGCAAAGCAGGCAAACACGTGCCCAGCACAGGGGCCATCAGCGCCAGGCTCATGGGACAACAGGGTGGGCAGGCGGCGTTCAGCCACGGGACTCCCTGCTGCAGGGGGGTTGTAGCGGTTAAATGCCGACGCAGGCTCCAAAAAGCCATTAAATGTGCTCCTGGAAGCAAAGGCATTGGCCTGATCCTGTTCCCAAGGCAGCCCCCCCAGCCGCCCGCTTCCCCTGGGCAGGAGGTGGGCACGGGTCAGACCTCGGGCAGGGAGAAACCCTGGAGAGGGGGCTTCTGCCTGCCCCAGCCCCAGCTCCTCGCCCCTTCAGCCCCGGCCCCCTCCTCCGCACCGCCGGCCCCGGAGCACCCGGGGAGCGTGGCTGGGGCCCCGGCGGGGGGGGGGGGGGGTTTGGCA